AGAAACTAGAGTAAGAAAAATAAAACTGATAGAAATATAGAAGAAAATGTTAAAAATTGGTAATAATTTTTACTTTTTGCGAGTTGTTTGGGAATTAGCCTTGATATATAATGCAGATTAGTATTTGTTATACAAAATATACAACTAGGGATGGGAATTATACAGTATAATTAAAATAGTAGTATAATAATCAGATTATTATACCATATAATAACTGTATAAAAAAAAATTCATCCAAAAAACTCTTTCTGACGATCACCTAAAATTACAAAAAGTAACAAAATATAGAAGAAAGATATTCAAAAAAGACCTAAATAAAGCTAGAATATAGATAAAATTAACACAAAACGCAAGAGGACAACCGACACAACAACTAACATAACAACAAAACAACAACAGTATAAAAAATACAACAAGAAAACTAAAAACATCACCAACTAGTTTGCAATAGACTTGGTAGAAGAAAACAGCTTGCAAGAGCAAAATAACACATATATACCAGTTTATACACCCAAGTTGCCAATAGATAACAGTATAGACAACCAAGAAACACAGAATACAAACAACAACCAACAAACTTCTGCCCAAAGTAAAAGATGCCGCTACAACAATATACCTATCTCTACAATTTACAAAAAATCGACAAAAAGTGGGCAAAACAGCTTACCCCTACCAAAACATACTATGACATCATACGTCATACAGAACAACACAACAACAACCATAACGGAAAATAACAACAACAACAATACAACAATTACGGAAAACACAAATACACAAAATAATACAAATATAGCAGATGCACAAACACAGCCACCAACAAACAAAACAGATGACCCAACATTCAATACAGGAAATAACTCCAAAACAATAGCTATGCAGGTAGATATAGAAAATACAACATCTACAACCCATGACCAAAATAAATCAGGAAACCAAAACACTAACATTCAACAAAAATCATATAGCCATGTACTATAACAAAATATCCCCCAACAAGATCAAATGCAAATAGATGAAGAAGCACTACACGAGCAAACACAAAGTTGGATTAAACATATACTCCAAGAATTAGACAACCAAAATCAAACAAGTTTGACTACAGGATTTGGCCAATAGACAAAATAATTACAGCACTCGACGACACAAATGGCATCGAAGAATTTATACAATACAAACTAACAACACAACATACACAACACCAGATTCCAAAAGCCATACTTCTTAAATTCAAATACCTAGATCTTGCATTCTTCACATCTTTTACTCAAAATAGACAAACCACACCTGCACACCAAAAAGAATTTACTAACTTACTCAAAGCAGCTATCATTAAATACAAAGACAAAAACGAAATCACTTTAACAAACAGAGAAACTAGAGACATAATCTAACACAAACTGAGACAAAAATTAATGATAAAATACCTTACAAACCTCAACTTCAGACAACTCCCACCAAGCAAGGCATACCAGATAATCAAATATAGCCGAAACTTCATTCATGCAAAACCTATTACAGACTACAAACAAATCCAAACAGCAGTTAATCAATTATACAGCATCCAACGACAACAACTACCTGAAACTCCTGAGGAAATAGACAGCCAAACTAAAAACATATTACCCTTCGAATTACCAATTAAGCAAAGATCTCAAACAAAAGCAATCGTTAACTTTCTTAGAGTAATTTTTAACTTTCTAAGCCTACCAGATACCTACTTTACTATATTACCAAAACTTCCAGACAAACTGTCAGAATTAAAAGAAGAACTAAAAATCTATTTTTCTATTACGGATCCAAAACAACTAAAAGAGCTACGATTCTATAAAAAGAAACTCATCGACCACTACAGCTTTACTAAAATACCTGCAATATACTTCGCTCTACTATCAGAACGAGAACCTCTACCATTAACTTATCACAAACTAAATAGTGGAGTTAGACACCTCTTCCCCATCAATCCATCATTAGAAGAAACAAATATTAGAGACATAGCAAAAGCATTTAGAAAATATTACAAGTTCAGAAGCATACCAAATGACTTCTTCGTACAAAAACCTGTATTACTACAGGAACTAAGCAAAATTAAACTACACACCAAATTTACTTATCCGATTACCGATGACAAAATAGCACAAGAATTCTTTAAAGAGGCAAAGACAAAATATAAGATAATCTTCCTTATAAACAAGGCAATCTTAACAGCCAACCCTACAAACAAACCAAGACTACCTTCAGACCCAACAGAGATCAAGGCATTCAATATCACAGTACCTATTACATTATCTAGAATACTAGTAGAAACAGTCAAACTCCTTAGAGAAGAATACTACTTCGAACATATCCCATTAGAATGGATCAATATACCTATCACACCTAATGAAATCTATGAGATCAAAACTAACAAAAAACCAATGATACCAAAAATCTAGTTGAACTACAAGAAGCACTTGAAAAATTACTGATGAAATCTATATCAACGTATCTATCAAACAACAAAAGGAAATTAACTCCACGATATCAATACTTCGACAGCATTTCGAAATATCACAAATCTCAAATTACATACTAGAACTTCCTCCTCTCCTAAAACCAACTTGGGACATCTTCGTCTAATTATATCAAGCTCAAAAAACTATAACAAAAACGAATATACAACTAATATATACAACACAAACAACCGCATATAAACAGACACTATCAACTTAGCTTTACACAATATACGCGGACTCAATGACAATATCAAAAGACAACTATGGCTCGACTACTGCAAAAAGAAAAATATAGATATAATAAGTATAACAGAAACCAAACTCGCAGAGTCAAAATATACAAACTTACAACTACATAATGAGACATACTATTTTTATACATCAAACACCACAGCAACAACAGCCAAAAAACAAGAATCAAGCATTTGAGTTGCAATAGTATTACATAAGAAATTACAACCATATATACATAATATACAAATCTATCCAGGAACAGCACTCAGCATTGATATTTTCCTACCACACAAAAACTAATTTTATATAATAGCAACATATCTACCCTGCAATAACAAACAACTCAACAACTTAACCCAATCCAAAGTAATAGAATGAGCAGAATAAGCAAACAAACAAAAGATCAAACCGATCATCCTCGAAGAGTTTAACCTTGATTTCAACAAAAAACACATACATAACACTCTAATACAATATTTAAAAAATACAAATATGCTATCATTAATCAAAACTCTATTACTGAACCAACCTACTTGGAACTTCCAACGAACTAGCAGCCAAATAGATGAGATATGGATTCCAAAAAACTCAATAGAAAACTTTCACAACCCAATATTCAAAGAGGCTATACAGATTACAAATAGTGATTACAAAATAATTTTCACATCAATCAATGTACCATATATACACAAAAGAAGCAAAAACAAAACAAAAAGAACAATCTACAACTATGATATGATGAATACCGAAACATGGGAACAATTTGTAAACACAATTGAAGCAAAACTTACACAATCAAAAACAGATTTATCAAACCCTAGTATAAAGAACCTCAACAAAACATGGCATATATTAGTAAACTGCATTAAACAAAGTACAAACAAACATATCCCACATATACACAAAGCAACACAAAGTAACAACCATCTATTCTCACCTACAGCCACCAAATTACATAAGGTACTAACATATATAAACAAAGCACGAAGACATATAAGCATATACAAATAAGCAACAAATATGGAACGAATACACAACTTTATACAACAAACCAACAACCTATCCAATATACAAATACAAATACAATCTAACACAACAATAGAAGAAATAGATTCAATACTCAAGACAACCCAACAACAAATCAAAACAGCAAGGAACATAGAAAACCAAACAGCAAAAAATCTACATATAAAGAACTGTATTGAACGCAGATACCAAAACTTCCAAAACAATATATCCAAAATGATAAAAAGTGTACTTAAAAAACACACAGACCCTGTAATATTACATAACATCCGAACACCTAACAATATAATCACAGAACCTCAGGAGATCAAAACCGCAATACAGGAACACTTTAAAAACTGGACAAAATCAAACCCAACTCAAACAGAATTATGAAAAGAATGGGCAGATGAATACAAACCAATCCAAACAATAGACCTAACATGGTACAATACAATCATGACAAAGATTACACCCTCTGAACTAGAGATTATAATCAAAGAAGCACCCAACATAAAGGCTACTGGGCCCTCAAAAATATCAAATGAAATATTAAAACATCTAGGCCCCCAAGCAAAAGCCACAATCTTAAATCTACTCAACAATTGTCTAATACTACAGGATGTACCAACTGTATGGAAATATAGTACAATATACCCCATATCAAAAAAATCAACATTTACAGGAGATCTAAACCAAACACGCCCAATTACACTAATTAAACATACTAGAAAAATTCTTACAAAAATCATTGTACGAAGACTTGATCCTATCCTATCCAAATACAGCATATTGAATCCTAACAACAATATAGCCTTAGCAAACACCTCCACCGCAACACCAATACACACACTTTAACATATAATAAAAGACGCTCAAATAAACAAAAAAGAACTATGGTTGTTATCGCAGAACATGAGCAAAGCTTATGACTCGGTACACATACCACTTTTAATCAAAGCACTACATCGTATCAAAATACCAGAACCTATAACAAACATTATAAACAATATACTATCCTATAGACACAATAATGTCATCACAAATCATGGACTAACCAACAACTACCACATCCAAGACAAAATAGATCAAGAGGAAACCATAACCCCACTACTATGGAGGATATACTATGACCCCTTGCTAACTCAGATCAACAGAAACCACCCCACATACACAATGAATACAACAACACCACAACCAACACACACACAACATACATGCCTCAGCAAACAACAAAATGTACTTGCATATATAGACGATACGTTATGGATAGCAAAAAACAAACTAAACTTACAAATACTAATTAACACAGCTAATTCTTTTTATAAAATGACAGGAATTACAGTCAATCCACACAAATCTATATTAGCTACCAACTACAAACCAAAAAACAAAGAAGAACTCGTACATATCACATTCAATAATACTAATATATACCTAATATTACCTAAACACTGCTTTCAATTTCTTGGATGTTACTACAATATCTACACCAACAAAACAACAATACAACAAAACATAACAAATGAAATTGAAGAAGCCTTAAAGCTACTCCACAAATCAACAATTACAGAGAAACAAGCAATATATATAATCAATACAGTCATTTTAATACGCTTCGAATACCGAACACAAAATTATATATACACCCAACCACAATGTGATAAACTTACAAATAAATACATCTCAATTACCAAACACAAGGCTGGCATGTCCAGAGCTATACCCAACTCAACATTCTATAGCCACAGAATATATGCACTCAGGACACTATGGAATATACAATGCCAACACCATATAAGCAAAATGACACAACAAATAAATGACCCAGACCTATGCAACTCATCACTATATATACATATACAACAAATACAAAATGCGTCGAATACAAATACATCAATACTGGCAGACCCAACATATATACTTCCTACAATAGAACATAATACAACTACAGCCAAGAGAATCAGAATACTACATGATAACCACTTCGCAATAATAAACAATATTAGCAATTGGCCTAAGCCTCTCCAAAACAAAGGAAACAGTATAAACAAGATACTTACAGACCCAACACTATATACAAACAAAATCAATGCCCAACAACTAAAGACCAAACTTAATCAGCACAAAATTAACTTTATTGAACAGCTAACAAATACAAACAATACACAAACAATTAACTGAAAAGAAACACCACACGCAACATACAAAATACCAACAGACAGAGAACCAGCATGGTTCAAAATAATCACAGCAATAATTGATATACAAGTCCAGCACACAAACCAGCTAATACTACAAATACAAACCCATATACAATCTACAACAAAGATATAACTAAAAACAAATGGATAATAATACAAATAAAAAACCAAACCATAATTAGAAAAATAACAACAATACAAGACCACAACAAAATAAAATTAACACACTGGATATATACAAAAGATAAACACCAACCACAACAACTTATACAATGCAACAAATGCAAGCTAACAACCACAACACACCATAGCAAGTGCGCTATACAAACAAACCCAAAAAACTATAGTATAATACAAGTTAGCTATAGTAAATGTATATACAGCAATACAGAAGAGATACAAAAAGCATTGCAACACATACGACAACAAAATACTTCACAGCAGATTAAACAACATATCTTAACTAGCCAAGTATCCAAGAAACTACAACTGACACTACAAATATGCAACAACATATTTCCAGAAACTACAACTAACAAAACACTAATTAAAATAGCAAAAGATATAATTATAAACAAAGCAATACATGCGATAATAATAACACATAAAGACACCAACACTGGACAACCCATATACGAATTCACCTGGGAAATTTGCCAAACTAATATCAAATTAACTAACAAAATTACGAACTGGCCATCCAAAACTACAGTAATATTAACAGCAATTCTAACACTAATAGCCATCATACTAATTAAAACAACACTAAAAATATTTACAACAGCAACTTACATCACCAATACATATCAACAATACAATACAATCAAATACAACAAGAAGAACATCATAACAAAAAACCAACACTGCCCATACTGGACCAATGTCTTTACACTTATAGCAAGAAAAGATATTCAATTAGAACTAATATCAATACCGAGCGAATCTCCAGCACTCACAAAATTATATACCAAAA